TCCCATGAATCACCATCAACAATTGACTGTCCAAGATGTTCGTGAAAAGGTCAGTGACCCCTGACTCGGTTGCGATCCGCTTTTTCATTGTTATTGATAAACCTGGCTAAATCACCATCAGCATTAATGAGTGAGTGAGTGAGTGAGTTTAGATTTTAAGTCACATCGGCAATATTTCAGCCATATCGGGTTTAATACAAGGTACAGATTTATAATGATTAAAACTTAAATTATAAACACCTGTCAACGAAGGACAGTAAAACAACTAGATTATCACAAATATATGTTTAATACTAGCAATTAACTATAGAGGACGATACAAAATAAAAAACGGGCTATAGATCGCCAACAACTGAAGGTAGATCACCATACTAGGGGCCATGGGGACTTACAGTACCTTCGCTACCTGCATGCACTTTAGTTGGATTTACACCATCCCTTCAGCTGCTTGCGATTGTAAGAAATGTCAGCCAAAATTAAAATAACAAGAATACTACGTTTAAAAATCCTGGTAAGTTTAAATTGACTTAGAAAATATGGGACTTACGTACCCTCTTAGGAGGACAATAATTTTACAATGCTTCAACACCCTTGAGGGTACAGCCACTAACTACCGGAGTTATTAATGGAATATTCAACACAGTCAAGCAGGACATGCTTGACCGTTATTCTTTCATCACAAGGGATACAAAAAAGGAGGATCCTTACCTTTCAATAGGTATGCATGAGTATATCTTGTGTGGCCAATACGACATCGTCGTATGATGACCTCTTCAAATCTGGACTGACAACCCAAGTAGGCGTAACCTATAGTTGGTTTTATTTCATGTAATTTATTAATACCCACCTGGATGTCCCACATCTTCTGCATCAGATCACGGATATAAGATCTAATAGCAGCTTTGTAATCGGAGTATGGGATAAAAAGTGGTGTCACAGATTTGTTGAGTGCTGCCTTGGCAGCAAGATCGGCCATCGTGTTCCCAGAAATGCCGACGTGGCTGGGTAACCAACAAAAGACGATGTCGCATTGGCCAGTAGCAAGATCATTATACAATTCAATAATTTCTATTAAAAGTGGATGTTTACAAGAAAGATTTTAATAGCCTGAAGGCACGAAAGAGAATCGGAAAAGAGTATGTATTGTTTATGTTTCGTGGGTCTTTGAATATATTTAAGAGCCGTTAATATGGCGTTTGCTTCTGCTGTAAAAATAGAGCTGTTATCAGGTATTCCAGAAGATATGGTTCTGGATCCAATGACAGTGGCACATGCCACCGCGCCACCATCCTTGGACCCATCAGTAAATAAGGATCTGTATGCATTATATGTATTTCTTAATTGACTAAATTCTTGGTTATACTGTAATTCATTAGTTTCTGACTTTTTAAATGTGGCTAATGTTAGGTCAATTTGTGGCCTAGCCAATTGCCAAGGAGGAGAAGAAAGACGACGGGAAGGAGCTATATTTTCCAACTCAATGCCGGCAGCAGAAATGAATGGTTTCATTCTTAAACCAAGAGGCGAAACAAGAGAAGATTTCTTATTGTATAAATTTTCATAGAGGGGATTGAAGACACAGTTATATGCAGGGTTAGATTCGTTAGAATATAGTTTTGTAATATATTGTAAAGATAATTTTATACGGCGTTGGATAAGAGAAGGCTCATCTGCCTCAACATAGAGATTGTCATCAGGAGAAGTTCTAAAGGACGCAAGACATAGTCTTAGGCCTTGATGGTGGACAGAATCAAGAATTTTAAGGTTACCTTTGCAGGCTCCACCATATACGATGGAGCCATAATCAAGTTTCGAACGGACCAATGATCGATACAGATGTAGGAGGGTAGCTTGATCCCCTCCTCACTTAGAATTGGAAACGACTTTTAGCAAGTCAAGCGCCTTCAGGCATTTGTTTTTGAGATATTTGATATGCGGAAGAAAAGTTAAATGTGAGTCGAAAAATAGACCCAAGAACTTGGCCTCCTTGACAACTTTGATGGGAGTGCCATTGAAAGATAGTTCTGGGTCTTTATGCGGCTTATATAGTCTACAAAAGTGTAGACAATTAGTTTTAAACTTCGAAAATTTAAAGCCGTTTTCAAGACACCATTTATTTATTTTGTTTAAACACAACTGCAGTTGCCGTTCAATAGTATGCATATTCTTACCGCGACAAGAAATATTAAAATCATCCACAAAAAGTTATCCATCGATTGAATCGTTTAAAACCTTGGAATGAGTGAGTAAGTGAGTTAATATTTAACGTCACATCGGCAGTATTTCAGCCATACCGTGACGAGAACAATCTATCAATTAAACCACAATAAATATACATCATACCAACCTGTCGTCGAAGGACAGTAAAAATATAAGAATATCACAGATTTGGTTTAGAACTTGTATGTTGTACTAATATCCATGACTGCAGAAAACAATACAAAATACAACCAGGCTACTGATCGCCAGCAACTGAAGGTAGATCACCATACCAGGGACCATGGGGACTTACAGTACTCTTGCTTCCCAGCTGGATTTACACCATCCCCTCAGGTGCTGGCGATATTGCAGAAATTTAGCCGATCATTAAAAGAACAAATATTCTACTATTAAAACGATGGTAGATGTAAACATTATTTGAATGAAATGGGACTTATGTACTCACTTAGGGGCACAATAGTTTTACGGTACTTCAACCCCCGTCAAGGGTACAGCCACAAACAAGCTGTTGTAATAATTATATCCTACCGAGTTATAAAAGACATCACTATGTACATCAAAATTTATGAATTAAGTCTATTTCTTTTAAAAAATCCAAGATTAGGATGAACGTTATTAAAAAGATCCTTTATTGTTTTGACACTATAACATTTATCACTTGCGATGGAAAAATCAATACAGTCAAGCAGGACATGCTTGACCGTGATTCTCTCATCACAATTAAAACCTTGGATAAACTGTTGATCTTAATGCTAAATAAAGTGACAGGCAAAATACTTCCTTGTGGGACACCTCCGCATTTATGGTTAAATGCCCCATGGATAATACTAATAAACATAATGATAATATTTGTACTTATATTGTGCTAACCTCCAGATTCCAGGCTTATCCTCAAAGCCCTTACATTATTGCCAATGGATCAGTGTGCACTGCAACCTGAGCTGCAATATAGGGTTATCAGTAATCTCATCCCATTGGGTATCCATTCACTGCTGCGTGAACCAAAAAAATCTTAACGAAGCCGCTTGCCTACGGTGAGACACATGTGTTACATGGTTCTTTCGAATCTTCTTTATTTCTGAACTGTAGGCCAGAGGCCCGGAGTACACGTAAAAACAGTTATAATGGGTGAGTTGTACAAGCGCTTTTGCGTTTTAACAGTGAATGGTGTATAGACATGGCAAGGAGCTGTACATTTTCGGTTGACATTAGTAAACAGAATTTGTAAAATGTGGGACAGGACGTATACTTAGATGGTATATAATAGCTCCTTAGATCTTCATACTGTGGACAAATTAGAAGGACATGGCATTCACCTTCAGCAATATCCCTGTCACACATTTTGCAGGATTGGTTCTCAGTAGCATGACATATTCTTTTAAAATACATTAAATCATAATAACCACATCGAAACTGCGATAACGACACTCTTAATTTCCTTATATTTACAACTGTTAAATACTTTTACACATAAAATGTTGTTTAAACAATATACGAATAAGAACATTTTCCAGTTTGGATATTTCTGGTCCACTCTTGCTGAAAGCAATCCTTACATCGTTGTTGGACAATGGATAAAAAAACTGTAGCATCCCCAACTCCCTGTCCAACTCATGCATATCCAAGGCCAAGTTGGAACAATGTATTTTTAATTAGCATATCCTAGTTATGTGTATTTCTACCCTCACTTGCATTTTCAACCAAATACAGTAGCATCTTATAGGCTTTTAAGGGATGGCGGTGAGGACGCATTGAGATGACTTTCAACCAATATAATATAGAACGTTTCAGTGCCAAGATATAGAATGGGTATCTTCCGCATTAACCTCATACAATATCACTAATTGTTGATCTGCGGATGTCAAGAAAACTTTTACATTCTTGCAACTGTACTTTTTCAATGCTTTTAAACCTTTGAATACCCCATACCTGAGAACCATAAAATAGAATTGGCAGTATTTTAGTGTCAACGATTTTAAAATATAATTCATATGAGAGATTTTCAAACTTAAACAAACTATGCGAGCCTTCTTAGCTTTATGAGTCAGATTGTTTATAGTTGCCTGCCAAGTGAGATTTCTAGTAAATAGCATACCAAGGTAATTGTATGATGATGAAACTTTAATTGGAGCAAGTTTGTATATCCACTTTTCCGTTCTAGAAAGTCTGCCCCCATGTTTAAATACAACAATACTTGTCATGCTTAAATTTACTTGGAGACTCCATCATTCGCAGTAATTCTCTAAAATATCAATTTGCTTTTGGAGTCCAATTACCGTATCAGAAAACAGAACAACATCATCAGCAAATAAACGAAGGAATAACTCGAGTAAGTGTTACATGGATCAAGGAATACAGTTGGTTTTCTATGGCAACGAATTCAATTTAAACTTAAAAGGAGGGTACAGCTCGTTTTCTAAGCAGATCTTCAAAACCTATAGCCCGGGTGCTCCTCCAAACAGCAAAGAAATATTATAACAAATGAGAGGTACGCTTGGACTGTTTACTAAACACCCGCCGGCGGCCAGGTCACTGTTGTCATTGCATTCATCTCCGAAGCAGACAATTTCGTGCACGATGTGGAAACTGGGTTAAGTACTATTTATGGAAATTCAATGGTCTGCTCTACGATTGAGTTCAAATTTCACATGAAAATATAGAAGAGACATTATCAGCCAATGACTGGTGACTGACGCCTAACATAGTTCGTGTACTAAGGTGCAAGAAAGTGAACGGCAATACATTCCCTCGACAAAATAACAACAGCAAATGAACATTACCTTGAACAAGAACCCGGCCCGGTGTCCGACAGTAAATGTAAGCCTGTTACGTGATCACGCCCTTGTGTCATCTATCGTCCTTTACGTTGTGGGAACATCTGCTCTATGACTATCCCTTTTCCTCAGTCCTCCTCTCGAGAACAGGTTTATCATTGTTAGGTCAACCTTGTCGGCAGGGGAGTTTTTTCCAGGTCGTTGCTTATAGCAGGTATACAAATATGTCAGGCTCAGCAAAACATTATAACTTCTCCACACCATGTAACCACACATTTTGGTTTTCTTATGTTTGATACAAAGAAACTACGATTGTATAATATACCTGCATAACACCAATGGGGCTGAGGGGTACCCATAAAGAGAAACGTACATATATCCTAAAGGAAAAAGGTAATTGTGCCTAGCAAAAAATTGCATAAAAAATAAGTTATTTGAAATATAACCCTAAATAAACATGTAGCAAAGCAATTTGCATGAAATGTGATCTCACGTATCGTGCGTGGCACGTGCCATTTGTGCACAATGAACTTACTCATTTTTTGCATGCTTTTTGACACCACACCTGATATTGAAAATTGGAGAACTGTTGATAATTCTCTAACCTCTGAATGTTGTGGAAAACACGATAATTGCAATCTAAACTGTGCGTACGTCATGCCAAGGCTTGCAGAAAGTCAGAGTCTCCGCGCCGTGTGTATGCTAGAAACTGGAATGGCCCAAAATGAAGTGGTCAGACATTTTGGTGTCCATCAAAACACGATCTCATCTATGTAGACGTTTTCAAAATAATGGAAACACGAGAGATATGCCTCGGACCGGCCAACCATGCGTGACGTCACGCCAGCAAGACAACCAAATTCGGCTGACCCATCTATGGAATCGATTCCAGACTGCCAGTTTGATTGCTCAGACCATTCCTTGCTTACTTCCAATCAGTTCCACGACTGTACGTAACCAACTGGGGGAGCACAACAATCGATCCCGTCACGTCTTGCTAGGTGCAAACAGCATCTATGGGATGTTTGTTCAATGACGAGTGAGTGAGTGAGTGAGTTAATATTTAACGTCACATCGGCAATATTTCAGCCATATCGTGACGAAAACAATTTATACAATACAAAAATGAAAACATTGTCAAGAGTTAAACCTGTCGACGATGGACAGTAAAAACACTAGAGTATCACAGATATGAACATAAAACTAGCATGTAAAACTAAAACAGTGTAATTAAAGAAGACAATACAATATACAACACGGGCTATAGATCGCCAGCATCTGAAGGTAGATCACCATACTAGGAACCATGGGGCTTACATTACTTTTGTTACCTGCATGGACCCTAGCTGGATTTATATCATTTCTTCAGTTGTTGGTGATTGTACAATAATTTAGCCGAAATTTAAAAGAACAAAAATACTACGTTTAAAATCCTGGTACGTGAACATTTTACTTTGAAAGTTTTTGGGACTTACGTACCCTCTCAGGAGGACAATAATTTTACAATACTTCAACCCCCTTTGAGGATACAGCCACTAACAATCTAAGATGATAATCTGAACTACCAATTATAAAATCCTTAAAATTATAAAATCAATGATTAAATGATAATTAACTTTATTAAAAGGGTCCTTTACTGTTTTGATATTGAAATATTTATCCCTTATGATGGAGAATTCAACACAGTCAAGCAGGACATGCTTGACCGTGGTTCTCTCATCACAAGGGATACAAAACGGAGGATCCTCACCTTTCAATAGGTATGCATGAGTATATCTTGTGTGGCCAATGCGACATCGTCGCATAATGACCTCCTCAAATCTGGACTGAAAACCCAAGTAGGTGTAACCAATATAAGGTTTAATTTTATGTAATTTATTGATACCTATTTGGATATCCCACTTCTTTTGCATCAGATCACGGACGTAAGTTCTAATGAAAGATTTGTAATCAGAGTAAGGAAGAAGAAGTGGTGTCACAGACTTGTTGAGTGCTGCCTTGGCAGCAAGCTCGACCATTGTGTTCCCAGAAATGCCAACGTGGCTGGGTAACCAACAAAAGACGATGTCGCATTGGCCAGTAGCAAGATCATTATACAATTCAATTATTTCAATTAAAAGTGGATGTTTCCAAGAGAGATGTTTTATATCCGAAGACAAGAAAGAGAATCTGAAAATATAATATATTGTTTATATTTGGGGTGTCTATTAATATATTTAAGAGCTGTTAGTATTGCGTTTGCTTCTGCTGTAAAAATAGAGCTGTTATCAGGCAATCGAGAAGATATTGTTCTGGATCCAATGACAGTGGCACAATCTACTGCGCCACCATCCTTGGATCCATCTGTAAATAAGGATTTGTATGTATTATATTTATTTCTTAACTGACTAAATTCTTGTTTATACTGTAATTCATTAGTTTTGAATTATTTAAATGTGGTCAATGTTAGGTCAACTTGGGGCCTCACAAATTGCCAAGGAGGAGAAAAAAGAAGACGGGAAGGAGATATGTTGTCCAGCTCAATGCCGGCAGCAGTAATGAATGGTTTAATTCTGAGCCAAAGAGGCGGAACAAGAGAAGGTTTCTTGGTGTATAAATCCTCATAGAGGGGATTGAAGACACAGTTATATGCAGGGTTAGATTTGTTAGAGTATAGTTTTGTAATATACTGTAAAGATAGTTTTGTACGGCCTTATGCAAGAGATGGCTCATCTGCCTCGACATAGGGACTGTCAACAGGAGAAGTTCGAAAAGACCCAAGACAAAGTCTTAGGCCTTGGTGGTGGACAGAATCAAGGTTGCTTTTGCATGCCCCACCATACACAATGGAGCCATAATCAAGCTTCGAACGGACCAGTGATCTATATAGATGCAAGAGGGTAGATTGATCCCTTCCCCACTTTGAGTTGGAAACAACTTTCAACAAATTAGGGCCTTCATGCATTTAGCTTTAAGGGATTTAAGTTAAATGGGAGTCGAAATTGAAACCAAGAACTTGGCCTCCTTGACAACATTGGTGGGAGTGCCATTTAAAGATAGTTCTGGGTCTTAATGTGGCTTATATTTTCAAGACACCATTTATTTATTTTGTTTTAACATAACTGCAGTTGCCGTTCAATAGTATGCATATTTGTACCACGACAGGAAACATTAAAATCATCCACAAATAACGATCCATCAACTGAATCGTTTAAAACTTTTGATAAACTATTTATCTTTATACTAAATAGTGTGACAGACAAAATACTGCCTTGTGGTACGCCTGATCCTGATTGTAATGATCAGACAGGGTAGAACCTACGCGGACTTGAAATTGTCTGTCATTTAAAAAAGTTGGCTATAAATTGAGGCAAACGGCCTCGCAATCCGAAGCCATGTAAATCATTTTTAAAATGCCATATTTCCACGTAGTGTCATATGCCTTTTCAAGATCAAAAAAGATAGACACAGTGTGTTGTTTATTAATTAGAGCATTTTTAACAAATGATTCCAAACGTACTAAGTGATCGACAGTACTTCTGTTTTTACGGAAACCACATTGTATATCTGTTATAAGGTTATTTGTTTCCAAGTACCAAACAAGTCGATTAATTATCATGCGTTCCATGGTTTTGCAAACACAGCTAGTGAGAGAAATCGGACGATAATTCGGAGGATCGGTATGATCACGTCCAGGTTTAGGGATAGGGACAATTATAGCATCACGCCATGAAGAAGGAAACTCTCCGGAATTCCAAATATCATCGAAAATATTCAAAAGGGTCTCTAAACATGATTCCGGCAAATGCTTCAGAAGTTGATAATGGATCGATGTTATCAGCTCCTGTAGCAGTATCGTGCGCCTGGTCAAGAGCAGTATGGACCTCACCAGTCGAAAATACCTCGTTATAATCTTCCCCATTATCTGAAGTAAACTTAATAGGTTTCTTTTCTTGCTGTTTTTGTATTGTTGGAAAATGGTCACTGTCACAGAGGTCGTCGTGGACTGACCGTTCGAATTCGGCTAATAGGTTGGAATCAGAAATAGACAAATCAAGAGCTGAGTATGTTCCTGTGCCAGGATGTAAATATGTCTTTGAACCATCATTATAAATGCATAGATCATTATTTGAGATCAAATTTTCCAATAATTTACCTTTGGTGTTTGTATTAGTACCACTCCAGAGTGGTTTTGTTGCCATTTAAATCACCATAATTAAACAGGGTTTAGGTAGTAGATCATAAAGAGCTTGTAGATCAGTTAACTGGACAGCAGATGAAGGTGGAACATACAATGAACAGAGAGTAAATGCAACTTGTAATGTAAGTCGCACAGCCACGGCTTGGAGATTTGTTTTAAGTGTGACTTGGCTATGGATAACATTATTCCTCACCAGGATAGATGATCCACCAGTCACCCTTTCAACCCGGAGGAGAAAAATAGTGGTATGCATTATACTGACCTAGGTCAAAATTATCCGTCTGCTTTAGATATGTTTCTTGAATGAAGAATAATGACGGATTAAATCTTGGTCTAATAGTTGTAAATCGTTTAAATTAGTCCTGAGTCCTCTACAATTCCATTGAATTATAGGCGAAGACATTATTTGTTCCGCGGAGGATAGACTGGAGATCTACCCCTCACCTTTCTTGAAGGCGACAAGCTATGTTTTGGTCGGACACATCCATGTCTTCAAGAGATCCAAACTTGTTAAACGTTCGCCCCTTTCGGGGTTCTAGTACTCTGATTCTTTTTGTACGTTTCACTGCTCGTTTTTGTTTTGTTATTCGCTGGTTGTTATACATTTGTTTCTGGTTGAGAAGATGCTTTCTGAGATTTAGATGTATCCTTCTCAGATGATACCTTTGATTGAATGACTGTCTTTGATTGAGATGTGGTTTGTGCACTGGTTGTCTATTGGGGAGGCCTCGGTTGGATGTCAACAGATAGCAAGGTAGGCGCAGAGGTATGTGCCCACGTGTAATCAGTCTGACAGCCTACTGAATTACATGAAACATGTTTAGCTTTGTTGACCGGGAGAGATGCAGAAACAGTAGCAGAGTAGCTCGGGCCTGATTGGTCTTGTGCCAAAACAATCTGTTTCGCTTCATAAATGTAACGTTATGTTCGTGCTTCAAACGCGATATCCTGGACTGAAGCTCCCAAGTAGGACATTCCTTCGAGGAGAAGGGGTGGGAACCAGAACAATTGACACATACGAGGGGTTTGTCACAAAGGTTAGCATTTTAACATGA